CGTTCTCGAGAACGCAGGCGTTGACTGAAACACAACTGAAGTTCGAATACGGCAGGTAAATCCAAATCAATGAGAGCGGAAATCATTTTTGTTCTCCAGGGCTAACAATAGGTCTTGTTCATGCGGAACAGATCACCAAATGTATCACTACGGAAGGCTGCTCATGTTTCCTCGAATATCGAAAGAACAATGAATTTTGTATAAACGCATGTGATAGGAGGAACCTGCTCTAGATAAACCCACATGCCACCTTCACAGCGTGGGAACCTTCATAAAGATGAGCCATTCCTATTCTTCCCGTGAGTGCGAATCTGCCAGAGCAAGACATATTAGCCCGAAATGGCGAGCACATGGGAAAGGGAAAAACTCACGGACTATTCGCAACATGTTCTACTGCTAACCAATTCAAATGCAGAGAACTGCCGATGTGACCTGATCGGCTGGATTCGATGACAGGCCTACGCCGCTCTCGATGGTCCAACAGTACGCTTTTAGTGACGCTCTCGACTGGATGAAAGACTTCTTGTGAGCACTTTCGATGCTCATTTGCAAGGTGTGGTGTCCAGTATTTAATCTTCGTTTCTGTTAATAGCTCACTACTAGATGTATTTGACTGAATAACTCAATGTTACGAACCGTGCTACTTAAAGCAACACCCTAAGAAGTCGTGTCGAAGAAGTTATTCAGTGGGTGGGATAGAGTAGCCTACGAGTAGCACAGATGTGCCGTTGTCGCGGCTCGAAAGTGCGCGACAATGGCGCTAGGGTCTTAAAAACCAGTACTCGGCGACTATTCTTAGCATTTGGACGAGTTATGTGGCTAATTCAAATACGCGCGGGTTATTGTAGATTTGGAGCAGGCAACTTCCTACGACTCGTCGTGGACCTGCCCTCTTATTTCAGGGGGAATTTTTGTTTTAGGCTTAATCAGCAGTTTTCTGTGCTTCTTTTTCATTTATAGTCAATTCGGCATTTACAACTCATTATCAAACGCTGTGCTCCCGCAAATTGGATCTGGAGGTGGCTTTTAAGCCTGTACGTGGAAAGAAAGCATTGTTCATGACTGCAAAGCTTCACACTAGTGAATACGGTACTTATTCGCCCTATTTTACAGCAGCACGTCCTAGGACGGAGCTAAATTGGTGGAAGAGAGGATGCGGATCAGGATATGTGGGTTGCGGCGCTCATTAGGTTATCGGAGGCGCAACCCCCGCAGGCATCACCGTTGCCATTATTCGCGCGTCACTGCAACCCATATTTCCTGACCCACGCGCAGAAATGGAGCAAATAAAGCATAAGATCTCACCCTGGCGAAAACTTCGTTGTTCTCCCGATCACTTTCGCTTGAGCCGTCGAAAGGAATTGTTGGTTTGCCACAGTGCGCCGTTCCTTGAAGCGGATAGTCACTGTTCAATGAACGAACAGACCGGCCTAGGTTTATAACATGGTGTTGTAATGTGGAGGCGTGACAGTATCAAAAACCTTATACGAGAAAACTATATAGACTTTGTGACAGCTCGAAAAAATGTGGAGTGTCACAATAATAATGTATAATATGTAAATGTGGAACTAATTCAGCTCACTTTGGCTCGACGATGTTTGCCGAGTCGCAGCGGTATCAGGAGCACGTGCTTTTGGTGGCTTTGACACCGTGTCCTTATCATAGTAGTCGAAACAGTTCCATCGACCTCGTTTGTATTTGCTTTCGAGCGGAACAATCTGAATCGAAAACAATCATAGGATGTGTGTCATTAGGCCAGAATAACTTGTTAACAGGATAGTCACAGTAAAGCTGATATTTGTCCGCAATTTACTTGAAAATCGATTGGTGAAAAGCTAAGTTATGGACAGTTTCGGAGAGCAGCGTTCCCTTAACGTGCTTTGCAATAGTGCCTTCCCCAAGCATTTCACTAACGGGACCCCTCGTTGCCTCCCATAGCTTCTAATAAGGTGTATACTTACCATAGCTTGTCAGTATAACTTATTGGAAGACAAGGCATCTGGAAGCACGATGATGCGCATTAGTAGTCTAAGTATGGAGAGAAGGCGAAGCTCCTTCTCAAACTCTCCGAGAAGGAGATGTTAAAGAAACATTCGATAGGGCCCCATTTTTCAGTTCAGTGAAGGAGCACCTCCCATTAGAAGGAGCTGCTTTTTATTTGTCAAGAGCCAAGTCAACCAGTACACGTTGACATCTAGCCAGCCCTGCTGGATAGATACATCAAATAATGAATTAATCAAGTAGGTAAACAAATGGAACGAACACGAAAACGTGATGGAGTGGTAGATGCCGTTGCCTTGGATTGTAAGCAACGAGAGTCGACGGACTGCGAGAAACTCGAGCGGACAAGTCTCTGATTTACTGAAATACTCTCAATAATGTTGTTACAACGATAAGCAATTAACTGAGACAGCGATTTGAATAGGAAAAAATGCATAGGTTGTAACTAGAAGCTATTAGGTGGTGAACATAATCTGGCCAATGAAATTGATTCAAAGCAAACGAAATTAACCATTTCCTCGAATTCTCTAGATTTTGTACCTTACTTTCTTGAAAAACTTCACACCAGCTCCGCAATAATTCCGGAAACCTCTGGCCAGGAAAGTCTTTTGGATCATGGAACGCTATTTCAAAGCGGTTTGTTGCATGTAATAGGGGCACATAAAACCGCAGATCGTTTTTCTGAGCGGCCCTGGAATTGCCAGAAAAAGGGCAGAAATTTACTTCGAGAAGTGAAACTTTTCCATTTTCAATAAACTCTACAGCATTTGTAGCGTTGAATAGTTGCATTTTGAAAGCTTTTTGTTCACTGAATAATTTCAGACATATATGAGCCCAAGAAAGTGGAAATCAGAGAAATGCAAAAATTTGTCTTCAGCGGGATCGAACCACAAGATGGTTTCGACATCTTTTTAAGCATTCCCAGAGGTGATCGGAAAAAGTTGTTCTCAGTAATATGCACTCTGTGCGTGCTTCTAGAACATGCAAGAAACCGCTTTGGAAAAGCGCTATGCTGAAAGGCTTTCCCGGTGAGACCACAGATAATACCACATTCAAAACTACAAGGTACATCATTTGAGCATTTCCCCCTCATCCGGGATGATTTATTCATTGTTTACACACACTAATTGAAAAATGGAATGGTACAAATAGCGCTCAACATGTAATTTTTCTATCGTCATTCCTGTTGATAGAAACAAATCAGCTCTTAAAACTTCTCATTTGCTTGGACTTTCAAAGTGATTAGGTTCCACTGTATTCTGATCACCGATGTTGGCTTCATCGAGCCAAATAAAAGTAGCGATTTCCGTTTTACAACTTCCTTTGAAATTTCCGTTGTGCAAAAAACAATAGCTTCCATGGAAAAACATAAAAATAAAAACACTAGTCGAAATTTTTAAAAATCCTCCCTTTGGTGAATTTTTGTTAGGTGATTTTCGGGCACTATTTCTTGAAAAAGTCATTTTATGGAAGTCGAAAACAATTACTTTCTCCAAAATTGTTCTTGCGAACATCAGTAAACCATCGGAGAAGCAAAGAAACCACGATTCCTCCGAGACATTTTCTTGCTTACAGTAAATAGAAATTTAAAGGTATAGCCCTGAAAATTACTCTCTGAGATGTGCCGCGCACCCGTTTTTTGCTGAATTGGAGAGGCATTGAATGCCTATTTCCCTTTGCATAACTTGCTCTTCTGCCCTGGTAATGTTGTGCTGGAAGTCTATGTACATAGAATCATAATTAAAAGAAAAAGTTACATTTGAGCATCTTTATACAACGGGGTTGTCATTTCCCGACCCACTTGCTCAGGTAGGAATCGCGATTTTCTTCGAAGGGAATGCAAATGTATAACGCTCTGGGGCCTGTTCTACAGGATATTCTACAGGTTTTTTCGCCCACATATTAAGGCTCTCTACAGCGATGATGCTTCCCCATAAGTATTAGAGATACTGCGTTTTCCGCTCCAGGCCCAACCGCATTGGGCCCCACACTTCCTTGGATCAAAAACGGCCTTCATTCGTTATTAAATTGTAACATTAGCAAATCAACCCTGGTTGGGAGGGAAGGTATCAGTGAAGAGAATTTTGGAAGTATGAGAATACCAGTGCTTTGAAGACGCCGGTCACATTTTCCCTGATAAGTTGGCTGTAGAGAACAAGAAGCACTTTGAGTGAATGAAGCCTAAATGCGGCTATATAGAAGTTTGGTTTAGGCTTACAGTACTACTCCACTAGCATCAATTTGGCTGTTTTCTTTTTTTTTGCGATCAGTCGAGAAGGGAAGGACACTCAGGTGCTTCTGGTAGTTCTCACACATAGTTAGTGTGTGGCGCATCCTACAGTGGTCAGTGTTAGGGCTACCGCTGTCAAAAGAGGCGTTGGTGGAGAGACAGTGTACCCTCCAATACCGTAGATATGTAAAAGGACGCTCATAATAGGCATCTTGTATATCACACGTACACTTATCCTTAGTGTTTGAACCTTGAAGTGCTTTTCAGTATAAAAGTAAGGTTAGAAGGGATTGCAAGGTGCGATAATATGAGTGGATTGCATTGTGCCAAAAAGATTTTCTAAACTAGAAACAATACATATATATGTGTCGCTAAGTTTCTAGGAAAAGTTGTTTTTCAACCAAATAGCAACCGACCATATTGAAGCTGATCGTGAAACTTCTCTGTAATAAAGAGAATGTTCTCTCAGGATTCGGAATGAGCAGTACAACGTTTGACTCACTTCTCTGACTAGAGCAGAAATTATCACCTTTGCTTCAGAATTCTCTCGCAAGCTTACTTCGCAATGTGGACGCGCAATTATGTGGAGGATGTGAAACTTCGTTCCCATACGAGACTTGTTGAGAAATGACGTTGAGCAATTTCTATAGTGCCGTAGAGTAGGTCTCTACCATTACAAAGATAGAAGAGGAATTCACGATAAGAACGAAACTCAAAAGGGGAAATTTGCATAGTTGGGAGACAGGACTTTTGAGGGTGCTGACCGACGCGCAATTGGCAGCGAAAGATTTGACCTCGGCGATCTAGCATGGCTCACTCTTGGCGCGGTTGGCGGGGTACGCCCACCGACTATCTAATCACTCGCCGCAGGTCTATACGTGGCGAGTGATTAGATAGCAGAGAGAGCGTAGTGTTGAAGAGGGCACAGCGATGAGAGTCGCATCAATGCGCAAATCAACGGGCAAGGAAGGGGTCCCATTTCTCGGGTTTCGGGCCGTTTCAAATGGTTTCTTCTTCATCCCTGCTCCACTGACCACCTCTACCCTTATTTCCAATGAGCTAACTTTTCATCGTAAATCCTGCCTTTAAGGAAAAAAAAACTTCACTTCCCAACCAAGGGTCCACCGCGCCGTTAGAACCTGAAGAAAACTTTTCGAGATCGATGACGTCGGTGCACCTGGCATACGTTAGGCTGTATGAGGAATGACGTTACCACTTAATGTATTGCAGCCGTTGTTTGTCGCTCTCGCGAAGTCATGACCATGAATTTGTAGGCGTAGTCGCAACAGGCAGTGACTCGGAAAACAGATTGGCAAGTGTCCGTAGTTCTTTTTGGACTTTCATTTTTAATTATTGATAGCGGGGTCTTTGTCTACCCGAGGTGGAAGTCCTGAGAATATCGTAATGTGAATCATTCACTAGTTTTGTCAACGAATTCGCAAAAAAAAGGAAAACTGACGAAAAGGGTGTTACAGAAATTTTTCTCCAACCTAACAATTTTATCTACCGCAGAGATAATCCATCCTACTATAATTTCGATGGCGAGTTCAGTCAGAAAATTTCGAACTAATCAAAAGAATCACTTGAAAGTGAAAATATTTTTGAACTTTCAATATATTCGGTCAAGGATTCCACAGGAAATCTACAAGGCTCTCGAAATACGATCCTCTGACTTTTTTCATGAAAGCGCCTCTTCAAGACACAAAGGCTCCGAAAGTGCATTCCCAGGCTGTAATATCGATGACTGCCTCGTGATTTGCAACCACCATAATTTTTCCTGACCGATGAAGCTTTGTTTTTGGTCAATCAACGGGCTTGTTTTTGGTCTATCAACAAACAATGTTAATTAGCTGAGATCATTCGCATTACACATTATCAATCTAAAAATGGCTATAATTTCCAAAATCCTCTACAGTTTTTGAAATGCACAATTCGATATCACAAAATTACAGGGCATGAGCACTGGAATCTGAAGTAAAAAGGAAGGAAAGTAATAAAATAATAAATTAAAATAAAGCAGCTATCGACTCACAATGTTAGTAAGTCGAAAACGACTGGATAAAGCACAGAGCTCTCGCGACCGCTTGGGGTTTATACATATGTTATCAATGAAAAAAGGTCTATCAGCGAACAATGTCGACCAGCATAGACCTTACATCCATATGATTAATATAGAAATGGCAGCACTTGACCAAAGTAGAAAATCCAATAAAATCAAGCACAACCACATCAATTCGGTAGGGTCGAAATTAAAGACAGATAGCTTGCAGCTTATGAAATGGCCAGTTCGAGCACAGAATTCACAATCTCTCTTAGAGCAGAAAGAGAGCAATGACTTATGGTGTCGGATGGAGGTTATCAGAAACGTCCAGCAACCCGCTGGGGGTAACTAGAAACACATTTCTTTGCAGTGCAGTATGAACCCTCTGCATTTCTTCCAAACTTCCAATTTTTAAACGGTGACACAGCGCACCCTAAAAGCGTCCTCCAATCCAGTTCTCAAAGTATTTCGGCTTAAAAAGGCAACAACACCTAAACCAGCACTTCTCTACATACACATATGAATACAAATAGTGTATGAATGTATGTAGTATATTTGGCCCCACCACAAGATTGTCCCGCCCACTAGCCCATGTGCCCACTGGGAGGTAAGTGAGAAAAACAAAATACTTTCAAATATTGATAAGAACTGCTGATCAAATTTCTAGTCATTATGCTACAATTTTGGCACATGAAAACATAAGTGAACGAACAAAGCTAACGAATTTTTGCATTCTCATAGATAAATGAAAACGATTTCTAAACCAGTAAAACCAGAGCATGGAATGTGCAGCTGTAGCTCACAAAAAAGAACTACGAATGTCATCATGAATAAAGCGGTTCTTCATAGTGTGATCATTAGTCATCCGTGCAGTCGCCATGCACAACACACGTGGTGTGCAAATATTTGCAGTGGAAGAAATGCTATAGAAATACATTTTCACAACTATACCGTTTACTACGAGATCATCAACTGATGGTCAGTTTCGCCAAGGGATGCGATACTCTATTACAGCGATTTCCGGCCAATAGTTGCATGGAAAGCGCGATAGCAATAGCATTCCCTTGAAATGAGTATTCTAATGTGGAT